AGAAAAACATCTAGCTCTACCACGGCCTCTACCTCTTCCCCATAAAGGTCTAGGGAAAGAAGGAGAAGCTTGGAAGCTACTTGAACTCGCTTTTCTTATCTTTGCGATTTGAGCAGCGACTTTCGCCTCCTCTTTGGATCCAATCAGGCGCGTGACGATATCGCCAAAACGAGGGCTGTAAGCATAAGGACGAACTTGACGGAGTATCGCCTCAAATTCTGTAGCTCTGGAATGGTTAGATGTTCTAGCATCATCGGCTAACTTTTGGATGGCTAGCAGGATAAGATGCGGGTCTCGAAGCCTAACCGGGGCAGAAACCAGTTGACGGACATTGGCTAAGGAGGTTTCAACCGAAACGGAAGTTGAAGATTTTAGATTCTTAACTTCCTCTTTTAAGGATTGAACGGTCACTGTAAGCTGAGAAAAACAAAAAGCTATGTTATAACAGACATCTTAACGAGAGGCTGGTTCCTTTGTTCCACAACAATAGCAAACTTGAAAACTAATTAAGGCTATTGGGCTAAAAGCGAATGTGAAAATGCACTAAGAAACTCAAACCCAACACGCATTTGAAAAGTCAAAACTTCTTTATATGTTCTCTTCCTTCGCCACCCAAAGCATCTTCCAAACCAACGAGTAAAACAAACATTCCACGTTGAATTATTCACCTCAACGAATCTAATAGAAATGAGAACAAATTTCCTGAATTAAAACAAGCACGAAATGAAGGCTCCCCAAAGCCCGGTTGCAACACTCCAGAACTACTGAACTATTCGCCACAACGAATCTAGTAACAACGGGAAAAAATTCCAAAATTAAACAAGCACAATTTAAAGGCTCCCCAAAGCCATGCTAAAACCTTCTAAATCTACTGAATTCGGAATTCGCCTCAACGAAGCTAAAGTAACAAAGCGCGGAAATTTAGAATTAAAACAAACAGAAAAATAAAGACTCCCCAAAGCCAGGCTAAACACTTCAAAGCTGCTGAATTCAAGAAACTCACAAGCAGGCTCCCCCAAGCCAGTGGCCACAACCACTTACAATTATATGATACTCTTAAATCAAAGCTAAAGACTACGGACTCACTTACTAAGATTAGAATCCCCTAGGGGCGAGTAAAACGAAAACGACGCTAAGACGTCAAGGAGCTAACAAACGATGAAAACAAAATGCTTAAAACCAAAAAGTATACGACTAGGAATATAGTAAACCACATTACCTGAGCGTTAGTTAGCTGAACTTGAGGCTCCTCTGCAACGGCTTCGCCAACTGCGGGAGCGGCCGGAATGGGCTGCTCATTATGTACGATGTCATCCTGAGCTGGCAAAGGTGGAAGAGCTACAGGCTGTTGCACAAGTTGAGCGTCTTGAACAGCTCCTTGAGCAGCTTGAGGAGGTTGAACAGGATCTGCAGAGACAGGACGCGACGCCATGTCGACGAACTGGAGGCGCTCTTTATCAGCGAGTGTTGGATGGTCTACTGCGAGCCTACTTATATACTCACGTTACGCATGGTTGCACATTGAATGATATACGTATTTGTATCTTATTCAATAATCAGAGTTTAACATTTTGAAACAGACTGACGTAGCAACAAACACGGTGAGATCACAACCATTCCCCTTTTTTCTCTCTCTTATAGAAATATGATAGCCATTACCCTAGATAATGACAATTACTAATGACTATTATTACGATTAAACATATATCAGGTCATCAGTAAAAGGCCTTACTCCAACAATAATCCAGTACCTTTGTCGGTGCTTTATGTACTGTTTGCACAACAACAAGAATGACCCTAAAGGCCGACGAGAGGACTTACTTCAGATCGTACCGCATGCGTATGGACTTCATGAGAAGTGTAAATCATGGTGTGGATTTAAACAGAGCCCGCAGACTTATAGACATAAAGATCTTCCAGGAGGTAAAGACCTTACAGATGAAAATTTAAAGGCAGCAATCAATGATTGTTTGGTGCCTTTCACCGCATTAGAAGTTACCACCAAACTATCACATCTTGGGAGTTCCCAACCAAATGAAGCGTTCAACTGTGTTGTGGGAAGCAAAGCTCCAAAAATACGGCATTATGGAAGCTCCGAAAGTCAAGATTTCAGGGTTGCTGCTTCAGTTTGCCAGTTTAATGACGGATTGCATTATCTGAACGATGTAGGAAGTGAGTGTGACTTGAAAGAAAATTCAGCATTGAATGCTTACATGAATGTCACTGATCATGAGAGGAACGCAAGTAAAGCACGGAAGTCATCGAGGACAACAAAGCGCAGGAGGTAGTTAATAATTATATATCGTTAATATAATCGTATGAGGAAGTAGCTGATCCCATTAAAGAGTGCTCAATACACAAAAAGTGTAGAGCTAGTTATATATATGATATCAAAGAGGCAAGATTTTGCTGTAACTCCGAGTTTCGTGCTACGCACTCATCAGACAGTATTTAATGATAAACATTCCTATAATCTAGATATATATACATGCTATAGAACAAAAGGCTAAGCTATTTACATACAATACGTGATAGTTATGCTAGAAACAATAGGTGTGAAGGTAAAAATTACAAAAGAGAGTATACTATTAATTAAAACTGCATAGGTGTAAATAAACTCGGAGTTACAGCAAAATCTTGCCTCTTTGATATCATATATATATCGTTAATATACTATATTTACGAAATATAATTAATACAATATTTGCTTGTAGATCCCAAAGGAAAAAAGACAAGATGCGCAAAACCTCTGTGAAAGAACGCAATGAAGGTGATATAATACTGACATTTCTAAACTAATGCAGTGGATAATGTGTAAACAAACGATCTTTTTAGGTACCACTTACAAAAACGCTGTTGGATATCAAGGCCCTAGTTCAGATGTAATATCTGCAAAAGTTAATAAAGAATTGAGAAATTCCATCTCTGATTCAGAGTACAAGGGAATTATTGATATGGGCGGTGTTCAAGAAGATGCAAGCGATTCACAATCTTCCATACCAGATTCAAACACTGAAAGTAACACTACAAAACAATTTGCTTACCTTGTGCTAGATCTTGAGACAACAGGATTTGAACAAACGAGTGAAATTCTTCAGCTGTGCTGCATGCCAATCAGCAACAGTGATGGGTTGCTGTGCAAGTATATGCTTCCCGCCATTCCAATCAAACTATCAGCATCGAAAGTTACAGGTCTGACATGTGGATATCACAATGGTAAAAAGGTTCTGATGAAAGATGGGAAAATAGTACAATGTATAAACCCACTAGAATGCCTAGAGAGCCTCATGCATTTGACGAAGGAAAAACACCTGTGCTCGTAGCACATAATGGTTACAGCTTCGATTTCCCTATACTTGCAAATGCCCTCAAGTCGCATGGTCTCCTCTCCTGCAATTGAATGTCAGGCTTCTAGATTCTCTGATATTTCTAAAGCACCATGCCAGCCAGTCAACCTCTCCCATTCATAAATGTAAGTCAAAATCCATTTCAGGCCTTCATACATTTCTGTTTGGAACAGAATTCGATGCCAAGGAAGATGTCAAGGCGTTGGCTGAGATCATGTTCAACTCAGATGTTCAAGTTGATCCAAATGAATTTACAAAGATTTCGAAGACCATGGAGTCAGTTGTAGAAGAGGTGCTCCGTCAATCGCGCACTAAAGTCCTCATAGAAGAATTTAAAGGAATTGATGTTTCAAGACAAGTGAAAGGGAACCTTGTTCAGGCAGGAATAAAATGACAAGAACTTTCAACAGTAGTACAGAAAAAAGGGGCACGTGGCTTGTTGGTTCTGCTAGCTCTACCAGCCTCCGTTGAGATGGTAACGTCGTCAGAAGCCAAACTACGAGTAACGAGAAATAGCAAGGTGCTCCAGAAAATATTCAACCACTTTAAGGCTTGAAACTCTTTAAAGACTATATAATGTATTGTAAACTCAAAAATCAGGCTTCAAAGAATAAATATTGGCCAACAAAATTCAGAATAATTTTGTTTTAATCAATCGATACAAATCATGTAAAAATTCAATGAAATACTGCTTCAACAAGCTGATTTTTTATTTCAAGCAGACTGCGTGACAAATATCGTGATATATGTGAAATCCTTTAATCCCCCTATTGTCTAAAATACAATGGCGTAGGACAACAAATACCCTTGCATAGATTGCCATGTAATGGTGAAATCACTGATGCAAAATGTACGTTTTTTTAAAAAAAATATTGCGTTCATTGTAAACTATCAATTCAAAATCATTGAGATACAAAAAAACTAGGGGGTGTGCGCTTTATCTACAAGAAATTAAAAAAAAATTGAGGATTTGATTTAGAGTTAATACGGTTAGAAAGAGCTAGCATGCACTAAAAACATACCTTTTGCGTCATACCTTTAACTCCCTAACGAAGTGGTGTACAGATCCTAAACTCTGCATAAACGTGGCAAGTTTTTTCTTAGAAATCGGTTAATATATGAATTTTTGATTTTGGACACGCGCTTTGTCTTTGAAAATTCTCGCTCCAAGTTAAGGACCGCATGATGTTGTCTTTCCTCGATGAATTTCGCCCAAACTTTGGTAATAGTTAGGCAGTACCTCTAATATTATGTCCCTGAGATATCACGGAAAAAATAGGCTTGATTTGTTCGAAATAGCTTTAAAAGTGTTTTCCTGGTTTTTCCCCATAAAACGCATAAATTAAATCCGATTTTCTCAAAATTCACAAAATATAGATTTGAATCCTTTGCTAGTCATGTACTAAAATATCATCACCATCCGACCAAAATAAACAAATTTTTGACCCATTTCTTTCGTTCCGGTCGGTGTTCTAAACAACTGTATCCAGATACCTTAAAATACTTCCAATCCTCTGTTTTTCCTCAGTATAAATCTGTTGACATAGATAAGTCCTTGGTGATTGTAGAGCCGGTACTAGTATAAGTTTGCTTTTAATAAGCTATTGTTTGATAGATATTAATTCACGATCGGTAGATTCGCGATAAATTCGCCGTATCTCTCCAAATGCCCTTTTGAGAACCGCTCGACTTTTTTTAGTGTGGCTATGCCGCGAATGGTGTGTGGATTTGTAAAAGAATCTAGCGTTCGACATGTTCGATCTTAAAACTTTGCCGGCTATACGAAGGTCCGAAGAAGCACGAGGCGACGTTTGAATCGTTGCCTAGAAACATGAATGACAGTAAGACAATAGATGTCAAAAATGAAAAGGTCCCGGATATAATTTGAAGCATACCACAGACAAAAAACGTCGGTAATTTAAGACATGATCTTCCTTTGGAAGCCCATGTAATAAAATTAATACTATGCAATTATTATTACAAAAGCTGATAAATTTGTGTTTTGAGCATAACAAAACATTGTTCAACCTATTTACCTCCTGCTTCCTTTGAAAAAAAAAAATACTTTCTTGGTTGCCGTGGTCGCGCGCGCGCGTCGCAAATTTGTTTTCGCGCCAAAAAGTTTTGACCTTTGGGTTGCCTGTGGTGAGAGCAATCTTTTTTGTAGACTATTTTATCAGCACTCAGCTTCAAAATATACGTACCTCCTTCACTTCTCAAAACATTCAAGTTCAAATATTATGATGTCCAGAGCAGAAACATTGGCCAGCAGCATACCTAAACTTTTTTTATCACTCAATATTCGCATTTGAGAGAGAGCAGTGAATGCATGTCTCCAGGTTGTCGTTCAAATGCTCATCCTCATTTTATTAGTGAAGCAATGCCTGTAGTTTTGTTTTTAGCTGTACTCGGACAAAAGTTGCAAAACATTAGAAAATATCTGGAAATCAAATAGACATAATCATATGGGTCTATTAAGTGATCATGAAGCAACAGATTTCAAGAAGATATACTATAAGTCTATCCTTAATGATAATTTGGGCAAACAAATGTTGGATTAATTTATGGCGTCATTTATTCCATCTTTTGAATCAAAATATCCCTTAATATGTGGGATAATTCCAAAAACAAATACTTTTTAATGGATAAACATTTCTGATGATGACTACTAGTCAAAAACGTTAATTTTTTTTTCTTATTGTAAATATCCTTATTTTTATTTTATATAATTTGTACAGCATATTATGTCACAGATAAATGTATTTGTCATATATTTGTATTGCTATGAAGGGCATTTTCATGCAAGCATTGAGACACATGTATCATGCGTTTGAGAAATAAACTATTTTTATTATTAAATGGCATCTTTATATAAGCTGTACAGTCAGGTTCATTGTTCGAAAGGCAACACTAAATCGATAGATTTACTACAAATAAAGACATATTGTGCTCACACAATGCACAATCCCCATTTAGTCATACATCTGGTTTTATCATTATAATTCATGTTAATACATTTTCTCCACTTTAGTAATAGAGCGTGTCAACTATTTTGTTATGAATTTTATAAGCCATCAATGGGACGAATTTGGATGCTAAGGAAAATCATTTCAACAGTTATGCAGTATATTTTCTATGCAGAAGCCAAGATTCAACATTTATAGTCTATTTAGAAAACTATAAAAGACAACACGTAAATCGTTCTTTGAAATGCTTTATTTTGTTTCCATCTAATTGATTCTCACTCACATTACACATTACAACATACTGACAGAAATCCAAATAAGAACCACATATTAAAAGAATGTCTGAAGCATCTGGAATATTAAAAATATTAAGTACATTTTCCTTTTTGACGGTTTTCTTGATGTCCTTATGTTCATGTGATGTACAGACAGGATGATGTTTGAGCTTTAGTAAAGCATACATGGAGTTCTCTCTTTGTGCATCAAAAAACTGCAAAGAATATTAAAAAACTAATAAATAATGTAAAACATTTGCTTTGCATATTATAAAGTCTTCTGCAGAAACTAAATAACTGTCAAGAAGGTTTCTRTWAWAGCCAGAGTTGACTGTAGTTTTAAGACCATACCTGTTTTCTACCTTGCAAGATAGAACTGTGAAGGCTGCTACTAAAAGAGCACAAAATTCAAAAAGATTACAATTGTAGTGCAAATATACACAAATATATTATGCATGACTAATGACATAATTTATTAGGTCACACAGACCTCTCTAGGCTACATTGGCCTTTTAGCTTTTCATCTGAATGTTAGAACCAGCAAATTATGTTCTTTAACCATATCTGTATCATGATTATAGTGTTCTGAAAGGTTTAAGTTAAAAGAGTTGGAACTTTGTTGGTCCAAGTTATGGTTAGTGTGTCATTATTTGCTAGTAACAACATAACGATTATAAGTAATCACTCTGCACCAAAACCAATTGGCAAAAAACATAATTTTCATTCAATAACAACTCGAAATATAGTAATTATTACAAAGTACAAGTCCTAAAAGTGTGCAATAAAAAATKAAATTTGTATTTTGCTGTATAAAACGTTTTTATCAAAAGAATTTTTGTTGTAAATTACAGACTTTTAGTTTTTGCACTTAAAGTCATCATGATGCCTACAATGACCACTAAGTGATGTTCATATATGAAGTATATTTATGAAAAATTAAATTCCAACCACGTAACCGTACATGAAATTCCAACTGGATTGCCATGATATTTTTGGAATGAGTTTTGATACCACAGATTGCAGCTCCAAAAGGAGCATGTGAATGACTAACAACTAGAATCAATTCTCCTGCAGTAGAACAAAGAACAGCCATTGTGATTTCTTGAGTAATCAGCAAACATCCTCTTTTGGTCCTTTCATTCACATATTGAGACAGCAAACCCACAACTGGACACAAATCTTGATTGGTAGTGTTGCAGACATTTTCATCATATGATGATAGTTGGAGTTCTTCTGAACAGTTCTTAAATGCATCTTCTACATCAAGAGGTATATTTTGACCATGGTGCAATGAATCACGGAGTGAATTCCCAGCCGTAATGCAGTCCACTAGCATAGATCCCCAAACTTCAGGAAAAACTTCATTGAAGTTAGTTGGCAAGTCATGCTTCACAAAATAATTGCAAACATAAATGGCAATCAAAGTACATGCATAGCTATAATTTCATCCCCCCCAAATGTGGATTGTGAAATGTCAGAAGGAAAAAAGAATCCATGTAGGCCAGCCGGCAGACTTTCCCGAAACACGCATGCATTGTGAACATTATCTGACATAACATCCCTTGTTACGGGAGCATCAGTTTCCTTTGGTTCTAATAATGGCCTTTTCTTGCTGTCCTTCCTTTGCACTGGTAGATTGTTTGGCTTATAAAATGCATATCTGTCAACCTTTCCTGTAGTACCCTTAGAGGTTGTGGTTTGTCCCAACAGAATGCTATTAATGGAAGGTCCATACTGGACATATGTTGGATTGTCATTTTGACCATTCCGACCACGTTGTTGGCAGAAGATATTTTCCACGAGGTCACTGTTTACATGATATGCAGAAACTCTGCATCCAGGGTGTGCTTACATGATATGCAGAAACTCTGCATCCAGGGTGTGCTTTAAACGAGAAACTACATAGTGCTTTTTAAAAACCCTAAAATGCAAGATGTGACATCATTCATGGTTTTGTCAGACAGAAATAGCCTATTGATGCCTTGAGGTCTAGTCTTCCTTTAACTTCAGATTGCCATTCATGGAGCCACTGTAAGCACTTGTCATTTTCAACCAGACGAATGTCAGCCATGCTGGTATAGGTCTGATGACTTGTGAACTTTTTAATAAGGGTGCTGGTTACACCAAGAAACTCTATTGTTTTGTCAAGATATGTAACATTTTTGCCAGCCTTAACAGAGAGGTCATCTTTGTATGCCTACAGAATAAGGATTTGAGGAAAATTACAAAATAATGTTGATGCATTTCTATCAAAATGGTGTGATTACCTTCATCAACTCTAACATGTCTTTGTTGAGAACCTGCTCTGCAAGATGGTTTCTCATCTTTGAAGAATATCYCAGCTGCAAATGCTTTACAGTTAAGCGCTGGTGTAGAGGTAATGAATTGGTTTGTTGATCCAAATTAAAAGCATCCCACCACTGTTTCCATGAAATACATTGCAAACTTATTGTCAGATTTCTTGTCCCACCAACTTTACTTTTGGAGATATTGTTGCGCGGCGTCTTTACATTATGTTAAATGTAAACAACAAAAGATAACTACTAATACTATATGAATAAGTTCTTGAAGAGATATTAACTAAAATTTAAATCCTACTAGTGTTCATCATTCAAAAATCACAATGCATTCCAAATAAAAGTAGACCTTGAACACTTTGTTTTTGGCAAAATGATAACATCAATTACTGCAAAATGTGAAATATATATATTATTATGCAAAAAAACCTTGGAGAGTACTATCAGAGGCTCCCTTGTATAAAGATTTTCAACAGAGAACTCTACCTTGACTGGATCATTTCCATCAAAGTGCATGTTTAATAAATTACGGTTTGCTTCACCACCATCACAGCAGCAGTACACAATCTTTATTCCTCTAAGCAACAGCTTTGACACAGCCTCCCAAAAGAGAATATACAGTGTGGCACTGTCTACTTCTTTAGTTGGCCAGTGTGCAAAGGGAAAACGAAAACCAGTATTACCAAGGAACACAAACTGACAAACATGAGTTGCCAATTCATCTGTGATTGCAGATGACCCCAACGATCAGCCAGATGATAGGATTCTAACTAGAGAGATTCAGTGCAGACACAGCGCACTAAAAACAACAGATAATTCCAGAAGTACACATAACGATAATGTCGTTCACAACAGCCAGTATTACAATTTAGCATGCACATTTTCAAATGCTTTTCTAACAGATAGATAACCGTAACTTTCAAACAACGACTATATTTTTAAGTAGATTTACACACAAAGTCCACTGGGTTAAAAGGCTATTCAATTAGCTTAACAATGCCAGACGTAGAAAAACAACTCCGTTGAACACAAAGAACAATATCTCTCAGTAGCAAACGCAAACGTAGCAACTTACCCGTCCAACTAAATATTTTATCAGTGCTTAACCATGTTTAATGGCAAAAATTGAAGACGATAAATACGGAAACTGCGTTACATAAAACAATCCGCGTAGAACAATATCGAAGACAAATATCACAGCTTGCTCACTCTTGTAGAACAAAAATATAAATTAAGCTGGAGCCACAAGTACAGGGAATAAACTCGAAGGCTAGAGACCTTGATAAATTAACTTGAGAATAATAATCTTGCTCACTGTAGACTTAAGTGGAAATCGACAACCTTGCTCTGCTACAAAATGTTGTCAGACTTAATACACCGTGGAAGCATTTTAGTTGGTCTCTCCTTTATTTGTCTCCTATGCGCCGTTAAGTAGTATATTTTATGTCTAATGGAACCCGACGCGTAAGTTCACAGGTATTATATCATACATATATAATCGTACACAACAATAGTTTGGCATTTCTGATCATTTACTATTGACGCAAGAAAGAAAATACGTGTGGTGTGTGATATTGAAGAAAAAGGAGGGGGAATAATTTCGTTGCCTGCGTTTCAAGGCGGGAAAAAAACTGAGGGGATATCCAGGTACTTTTAAAAGCCCATTTTCCCATGTGGATTGATAGAACTAATTTTGTTAGAAAAAATCCTGGATCACAAGAGCTGATGAACGTTTGAATTTTAGAGTCAGTCTTCGATTAGGCAGCAAACAAAAGCATTGATAACAGTCAAGACCCTAGGGAGATCGCGTAGCGACTAAAACGTCCGCTCAACAGCACTCTCTGATAACCTCAGCCAGTCACTATTGGCCGATAACAAAACGAAAAAGGGACTGGGTACGAACTTCCAAATCTAATTAAATAATGGTTCCAGAAAGAATAACCCCATCATGTGAAAGAGCACCTTATAAAAGGCTTAGTGACTAAGTTTCAAGATGTTTGAACTTATAGCGATAAAGTAACGGACATTCAAACCATGCCAAAAATAAAAAGAAATGTATGGTGTCCAGCCAAAGCGTCCAGCCAAACATACATTCTTTGTAATTTTCGAAATTTTGGAAAAATTATATTCACAATTCTAACGACTTAAACTTGCTCAAACTTTAAACTTTTTTAAATTTATATGTGCTTTATCTATAAACAACAGATTTCTGTAAGATTGTAGCACTTTTAAAATTTTCAGTCCCAGGCCCCTGCTCGTTTTGTTATCGGCTAATTAGAAATGCCAATGACAGCTGTGACGGCTAGTCACGTCATAAATTTGTCTTGTGACGAATGTTAGTGACAAAAGTATGCATTATCTCAATAATGCCAGATATTTAGATGCAAGTTTCTTCAATCTTATTCTGAATTCTATTTGTTATAATACGTATAGGTAAATGATTTTGTTTTGCCGTAAATGTATGGAAACACAAATAGTCACACTTGTCAACTAGTRATATAATCTAAAAGACTTTTCTGGTTTTTATGCTGAAAATATATCTCTTGAAAAGGCTGCAAAGCTAACTTTTCAAGAAAAACGAGAAAAAGGAAAATGGCGACTCTATCCATCATCACGTGACGTTTTGCCTACTAAATCTCTTCCGGTTTCCAAGTGACGGGCAAATGATTATAAACAAACATTGCCGACAACGCGCACGTGAGTGAYCGTGATACTTCAATGCAAGAAAACAATCTTTCGAGTACGCTAAAACTCTATATCCAAAGACAAAACGTAAGTACGTCAACAAAATATCTCTTTGCGATGGATTCGATCCTTATATGATGAAATCGAATAGAGTTTTCATAAGATTTTAACGATCTACCTGCTATCGAGTTCCCCGACATTTCGAACTACTTGGTAATACATACCTCGTTTTACACGGGAAATCATATGAAAGCCTTTAAAAGTCTCGAGGCCTATAATTATTTTGTTTGTGGATGGGTCCATGATGTTGGCATTAAGATCCTTAAAGACGAAAACCGACTGATATTTGCAAGAGTCCAGTGCAAAGTCCAGTGCTGTACTAGTTATATTCGTGAACGTGTATTTTTTTTTTCCAACCCTAATTTAAATTCTTAATGTACAGTTAATGAACCCTGTGAAAAACTGATGATGAGGAATTAACATTGCTTAGTTAACAACTGCTTAGTTAAATTGTTATTTTTGCTTAAGCCTTTTCCTTAATGTTTCCAAGTTAGAAAATATCTCCTCTGCCTCTTTGTCCATTTCTCTAACAGTTCTCTTATAACTGTTTTCCTTCCTTAGATGGAGCATCTCGTTTTCCCTCTCAGCACATTGACATAAYTTCTCAGCACTATCATTTAGAAGCGAGCAGTGTTCTAACAAACACTTTCGTTTGGCCTGCAGGGTTGAAATTTGTTCTTTCACTTCTTCATTGGCTTCCTCTAGTTCTYTGTTCTTTTCTGTCTCCTTCTGTCTTTTCAGCTCCATACGGTATTGTGAAGATGCACTTTTAATAGTCCGTATTCTGTCCTATGAAAATGTCTTTAGAAAACGATTTTCGCTGCCATGGCGCCGGCACCAAAAAAAAATTGCACCAAAATGTTGTTGTCACTTCGAAAAACCTGCAGTTTTCTCGAAATAAGCAATTTAAACTATTACATCCGCCATCTTGGATTTCGAATTCCCTTGGGGGTGGTTGCGAAACTAAATTTTGTGTACTAAGTAATATGTATAAAAAATGCCGACACTGAATAAGAAAATGATATATTTAAGTTCAAATTGTGTCAGCCCTTCAAAACTTCTATCTTTTAGCATGATTTTGATTTTATAGTGATAATTAATTGTACATATTCCATTTTATTGTCCCTGGGGGGAGGGTTAAGTAGTCTGATTTGTTAAATTTTACAAAAGAAACTAAAATGAACAAAATAGGGCTAGACATCGAATTAATATACCCGGTTTTCATTACGTATAGTCTATTTTACTAACAAGGATTTGGTTTTGCTAAAATTATACTTATAAAAGTAATGATATTGGAGTTTGGGAATCTTTAAATAGGAAGTGCCTAGAAAAAAATAATATAATTCGATCAGTTATGAAGTTTATGATCCCTCTATTTCCTATTGTTTTTTTTTTTTTTACTTTCTTTGTGAAAATTCCTTTTTTTCCGCGCCCAGCTCAACGCATATGATCATTAATAGGAYAACCTTTAAACTAATCCACGTCGTCGTTGAAGAAATCATCATAATCGTCATCACTACTTTCATCGTCTTCTTCTTCGTACTCCTCTTCATCCTCTTYGTACTCTTCGCCGTCCATTTCTTCAGCATTATCACCATTTTGGCAAACACCACACGAACATAGATCGGTACACTTCAACCCAGACTTTAAACAGGAACAGCGGCGTGATGTACAACCGGTCTTGCATTTGCATTGGACACATTCTAGGGTTGAATCAGGCGCCGATGGTCGTGTCATCCACTCGATTTGGAGTTGGTCATCAACCACTTTCCAACCACTCTCCTGGGGAGGTGGAAGCTGCACCTGTGGAGACAAACAAAGATTCCACGCAGTTGCTTGGAAATTGGCTCTTTCGACGTGCTTTCTTAGACAGTCACAGCATGGTGGGAGTGATTCACTTGAGTATGTCCCCTTCTTGAAGATAGCGAACCTGCATTCATCAGTTGAGACTTTATCTCCGTAGAGTATACAAGTGAACTTGTTGAACGATATGATGAGATCGTTGCTATTAAACATGAGGTGAACTGCCAAGTTGGGAAAACGTTTCTTCGAATTCTGGATGTTCGAGAAGAGTCTTGCATGGTTTGAGTTTTCCTTTACCAAGAAAAGAGCTTGTGCTATCACATCCTATATTGAAAGGAAAGCCTTAATGTGATTAATAAAAAAAATCACAAAAACTTGAATTTAGAGCAAGAACATCAATTGTGTTGTCGTAATTCGTCAATATGATTCGTCAACTCACGAATTTTAAGAGCGGCCAATTTGAAACCACGCATATTTTGGAATTCCGGGCTGTAGATTTCTTACAACAGACTGCGCATCATATCAAACGATCTATTGATATTAGAGTTACACAAGAAAGGTATATCCTT